TCTTTTATATAGTTTGTGATCCATGTAAATGAACAACCAGAAGAATGTAGACAAAGCCTTGAAAGAAAAGTGGGTTGTTGGTGATTCAACACCCAACTTTTAACAAAAAGTAATTTGAATAATGCAACCAAAGTTAACTTCAGCCCCTCTGTTTATCATTTATAACTAATATATGAATATTTAATGATGAATATTTACTGTAATCTAATTTTACGTTTTTTTAAATAATGACATTTTCAAAAGTCTTTGGACAACAAGGTCCTATCTGGAATGATCCAACAGTATGCAAGATTATGTATCTGTCAGGTATCCAAAATGTTTACGGAGAGAACACAGGAAGATCTGATCGGTCACCAATACTTATATGAATATTATCCAGATGTCCATTCTCTTCCACTTATCCTTGTCAGGGATGCAGGGGGGCTGGAGGCTATCCCAGCTATCTTAAGGCAAGAGGCAGGGTACACCCTGGTCCCTGACAGGTTGCCAGTCTGCCACAGGGCTAACACATAGAGACAGACAACCATTCACATTCACACCTATGGGCAATTTAGAGTTACCAGTTAATCTATCCCCACTAACTGCATGTCTTCGGGAGGTGGGAGGAAGACATGCAAGATATGAATATGAATATATTGTAGAATTCAAGAGCCGTGTATCACAAAGATTGAAGATGTGGCAAAATGTCATCAAAGACCTTTCGGGAAACTGAGTATATCGTTAAAGGTATTGTGATTACATTATTTTTACTTATATTCTTTCTTTGGTTGCAAACTACTGGTTGCTATCCTACTGCCACATAAGCATGAAATTGCTTTATTTGGAAAGTTAAGGAAAACTGTGTATTGTCACAGATGATTCGGCTAATTTTACATTAATATAGTTATTACATTTTTCAATACTTCTTACATGCTAGAGAAGGTTAAAATAATGTATTATGTAATGCTAATAGCTTTAAGTAACATGTGAGAAAAGATCTGCTAAAGCATGCAGTGTTTGCCCAAGACAAATAAATACAGTCATACTGGCTGTGTCCTTTAGCATGTAAAATGAAAAGAATGCAAAGTATGTTAATTGTTTACTGGGATTTAAAGCTGGGAATCACCATGACTGCCTTCTTGCAGGTGCATAATTTTTTGTGAGAAGCTTAACATATGAATAAAAACATTTCAAAAGCAATTGGGGTGATTGATAAGATATCAACTTTAACATCTCTATCCTTCAGTCCCCGGCTTACAAATCCTTCCTTCAATTCAGCCAGAAGATGAACAATATTCTTTGTCTGCAAATCCAGTCTCATGGCTGCCTTCCCCGCAGGTTTCTTTTCAGCAACAGGTTAGCCACAAGGGCAGATTAAGCCTTTTCCCCTCCCCAACCATCCAGTAACGCCAGCAGGCTGTATAGAGCCCATGTTGGGTTTTGCCTGTTGAATAGTGGCTTATGGCAGCTAAAGACCTCTAGAGGGGGAATCCTGAGGGGATTACTCTCACGTCCTCCATGAAGTGGGAAATCAAAACACGTCTTGAGCGTCTGGGGGTGATCTAAAGCATTCAGCATTCCCCCGCATGCACGCACACACACACACAAACGCAAGCGAACACGTCTACACTCATTTGTCAACATGCACAGTTGCACAGCCTCACAGACACATGCATACACAAGTAAACTTTGGGGATATTGGATGCTCCTGTCCCTTTTACCCATTGACACCCAGAGTTTTTTTGATACCCACGTATAGACATCTAACAAGGGACAACTCCACTCTGAGAGGATTAGTGTAAGTCGGACTGATAATGAAATCATGGACTGAGTAGCTCTTGGGAGGATTTTATACAAAAGAGACCTGAATTACTTTGTCTTTTCTTTTTTCACATCCTTTATTTTCTATGGTGAGAACATTAAGAACAGTATGAATTCTGCAGCACATGTCATCCTGTGACCCCTCCCCATCCCTCCAAGCAGGGAACCCCAACATTTCCACCATCCATACAGAAACTGCTTAGCCTTCTCTCATCAGCAGCGGAACACATCATCATGGCATTAAGCTGCTGTAAGGCCCGCATCTTCTTTCACCGCAAGAGTTCAGCTGGGATTACACAGACTATCAGCATTCTCCTGCATAAATAGATTAAAAACTAGGCTGTGCCATGGTGAATTGTCAAGCGTCATCATGAATTTCTAAATTATCGTAGAAATGCAGCGAGTTATGTCTTCATTTTCTCCTCCATTCGTCTAGTGGCTCTGCGAGCAGTGCAAGGTTATATGTAAATTTGCATACATAAACTGTACGTGGAGAAACTGCAAAATCATTTCTTAGACAAGAAGAAATATTATTACTATATAAACAATATAATTACCTTGTTGGAATATTCAAAATCTGAAAGGTAGATGTGATTTATGAGCGTTGTTTTAATAAATATTATGTAATTTAAATTGAATTAACTTGATATATAATTAGTTTTCCTGAATTCCTGCTCTATTTTAAAACTTTACTACAGTTTTCCTGATCTGGCGGCGGCTCCTACATCAAAGTTAATTATAATAATATCATTTGTTTGTTTAAATGAATGAAACCCATCAGTGAACTAAGTAGAACAACACATATTGTTAAAGCTGAGCCCCTGATGAGTTTTCAATACAGGCGAGTAAAAAAAGGAGATACGCCCTTTTGCACTTTTAAGGTTCACATATCAGGATATAATAAAAATCATATTATCCTTATCAGGACTTAAGGTTAGGTAAATATAACCTCAGATAAACCTTAGCACATGATTTATTATATCATGCCCTCATTTATTTAACAGAAATTTACCCAAAATGCAGAAGAATTTTCCATTGGCATTAAAAGTAGCCAGGTGCTGCTAATCAAATGCACCTAATTAATTGATTGATCGTCACAAAGTGTGAGCACCTGTATGAAAGCAGATGGTTTGTCAGTTTGCTGTTCTGAGGTGTGTGTTAACACAATGCCAAGAAGGAAAGGCATAAGCAAAGATCTCAGAGCAGCAACTGTTGCTGCTCTGAGATCTGGAAAAATGTTACAACACCATTTTCGATTGCAAAATTACATGTGAAAAAAGTTGAGATGTTCGGCCATGAAACAGCAAGCACGGTGGTGGAGGGGTGAAGATTTATGCTTGTTTTGCAGCCACGCGTGGACACCTTGCAGTCACTGATCAATCATAAACTTCTCTGTATACTAAAGTATTCTAGAGTTAAATATGAGGCCGTCTGTCTGACAGATAAAGCTTGGCCCAAACTGGGTCAACAGCAAATCTACAACAGAGTTGCCTGAAAAGAGAAGAATCGAGGAGTTAGGGTTATGGCACAGTCACGGTCCAGACCTCAACCTGATTGAAATGTTGTGCCTACAACCTCAATAAACTGAAGCAACGCCATAAAGAAGAGTGGGCCAGAATCTCTCCACAATGAAGTGAGAGACTGATAAAGCTACACAAAAAATGATCACTTCAAGTGATAAAAGTAATAAAAGTGGTTCGACAAGCTACTAAATGATTGGATGCACTTAGTTTTTCTTTTAGTGCTTCTGCTTCTTCGACTCAATGTCACCACGATGTATTATGCCATGTGTTGTTAATTTAAGGTTGTATTCACCTAATTCGAAGACCTAATAATGGTGAGATCATTTTTCATTGTAAAACCTTAGAACTGACAGAGGATATTCTTTCTTCTTCCATGGCTGCACATACTGTTTTGAGGCTCCAGTATTTATGTGATTTCTGTCATGTAATTACGCCATTAAATGTCATTTTACATTATGCCATGCCATGTCACGTTAGACGGTTTTATGTTACCGCTATGCCTTGTCTGTGTTCTGCACAGCATCAGAAGGAACATATTAATGCAGACACTTTATTAGAAACTACATACAGTAGAACGCCATTCAAGGACCTGTCCACCCACATCATCACATCATCAAAAGGAGGATTTTCAATCTTAGGAACTTATCTTTTAGCATTTACAATTGCAGTGAGTCATGCACAAACGCCCTTTTAACTTGCTGTGAGGGAACACGAGCATAAACAGCTGTTACTTGTGAAAAGAAGGCTACACTTCTGTTTGGCAAACATTTAGAAATAGCTTGCCCTCCATTCAAGTTGGTCAGACTCGAACGATTTGCTTGAAGTGTCGAGTCACAGCTCCAGTGAAACTGACCTGTAGCTTATGCACAAAGAGCTTGGGGAGAAATGTAGGTCAAAAGCTAATTATGTGGTCTGGCAAGTGGGGCTTATATCAAGAAATTTCTCAAGGGCTACAACAGATCTGCCTGCACATGCTTGCTCAAGACACGTACCATGTGATCCATTAGGCTATTATTTGTTTAGGTACAAGACACAGTCACACCTTCACCTCATGAACTTAATGGTCTTCGAGAGCCAAAGTCCAAATGTCAGTGGCGGCTGTCACCATGCATTGTTGACTTAAATTAAAGGTAGAATTCAGCGAGTGCAATCATATTTGTCAAAACCATCCCTCGTGGAGGGTCTCACGTTAGAGCAGTAATTTAGGGATCAGGAAGGGAGAGCCACCTGTTGAGAGACAGAGGGTAAAAAGAATCCGCAGGCCTTCCCAGAATACCTGCGCTCGCAGCCAGGAAGTACAGTTTCGGGGCTTAATGTTGCATTCCACACGTTGCCTCTCGCAAGAATGCTGCTTCCAAAGTGTGTGAGATTAATATTTAACACAACATTGGCTGGAAATGCTGCTGCTGCTCAGAGTCTGTGGTTTACCTGGCTGTGTTTTCCTAAAAGCTCTGCTGCCACCGTTATCAAGCTTTCTTCATAACAAAGTCTCAAGTGACTGATGCACTGGTAACTGTATAGTCTTGCTCTACAGGATTTTAAGGGACAGACAATATTTTCCACTGGACATCATAAAGTATGATAAATATTATTTAAATTAGTAGATTACCAAATTAAAATGGATATATGCATTCACAAATATCAATGCTGTTCATGTCTAAATATATAATTTTTTTCACATTTTGAGATACCTCACCAAAGAAAGAAATACACATTTCTGTATTAGTCAGTGCCATGTAATTTGTCCGCCCTTGTCTTCCTATTATAACACATTGCTAAGACTGTTTAAAACATCTACTATAAGGTGCCATATACTTGAATTAGGAGCAACCTGGGCCCTTTGACAGATCCACATATTGCTATAGCAACAACAGCCTAGCCATTGAGATATGAACAATGTGGTGGGGCAAATAGAGCAGGCTGAGATTGGAAACACAGGAGAGATTGGAAACTTCAGCTATAATGATGATGTATTGGATGCTGCCTCCGTTTCAGCTGCAGATCACTCAAACTGGCATTCCTCTGGCCTTGTCAACGTGGTATGTTCCTCAAATTTAGAAGGAACTGAATAAATTTGTGATCATTATCAATAAAACGATAAATGATAATTGTCGCAGAGCTTTAGTTATAGCAATTTAGATGCAAATGATAAAAATGGAGCAACACAATAAGGCTTCTGATCCATTATTTTTATGTATCACAATGACGCTGTCACTATAAAATCAACCGCGTGCATAAAAAGGCTCTGGCAGACTCTTATTTTTATTTTCGTGCAATTCTGAATCTGTATTTTGATGCGTTCATTGTCGGCGTTACGTACTCTGCTTGATTGCTCCTCAATATTTATGAGTTACAAAGCACATCAAGCGGTGCAGGAGGCAGTTCTAGCTGCACAATGAAAAACATCCTCCTGTTATTAGTTTGATTCATTACTGTGCCATTTTAGTTCTACGTGCAAAGGGGACCGCTCACCTGCAAATCAAATATCCCCGTTTTTCATCAGGTCTGCTGTACTGTTTATCCAGCTAGATTGTTTTACTGTGAGCTGCCCGGTTTTGGAGATACTGGGATGTTCCCTTTGTGGATTTGATAGAGCAACCAGGGCCTGATTTCTCAAAGGATAACTCTTTGGGTTTTCCTTTTTAGCTATTATTTTGTTGCATCACATACAAGTGAGGGCAGACATCAACCAAAATGACCAACTCACACCGAATCAGTCTTTTAATCTGAACTGTTTCTGTAAGCGACATAAAACTATAATCAAAAAGAGCTCAAATATTACCTTTCAATGGGGAAATAGTTTGTAGGTAAAGAATGTGAAGAGTGTTAAGGGGGGAAAAAACGTGCTGGTCAAACATAACTCCCTTGGAGCGATCATTGCACTGATTGGGTGACAAAGATGAAAAAGGCCTTTCAATATCTCAGACTAATGTTGTGCCTTTGCTCAGACCGGCTGTTGCCCTGGGTGCGTGTGAAATGCTTGGCGTGGACAAAGTAAACCATGGCCGGTGCCCATGCTCCATTGTCCTCAAAGCCTCCTAAAGAGGTCTCTTCACAGGTCCAGCAAACACACTCTCCAGACTCTTGGCATATCTCTGAAGATCCTCCTTTTGTGTGAGGAAACACATTACTCTCTCAAGGAGAGTAACAGGGGAAACAAGGCAGCACTAGTGAAAAGGCTTAAGTATGTCACCCCCCACCCCTGTCAGACCGCCTCTCTTCCTTGCCAGATGATAATTGGGACTGAAACACTTTTTTGGTCGAAGCCTAATTCAGTGAGTAAATTGCAACATGGGAAAAACATGAATGGGGCCCAAGCTGTGTGGTGACTCAGCCACAGAGACGCTAGAGTCGCTCTTTGTGGCGGTCTACAAAAGGGAAATGTTCTGTTAATCAGCATTGTTATATAAGTAAGTGTGCTTTCCTTTAAAACTTCGAGTGAATGCTCATGCCAGACGAAAAATATCGATACCGAAGGACACTGAGTTTGAGCACCGCGCACAATCTGTGAACATCTTTGCAACGTGTTTCTACCTGCTTCATCTGTTTGCTTCTCAGCAGAAGCCTTTCTGGTTTTAGCCCTTTGTTTTCTGTTTTAACAAGTACAACTGGATCACTTCTCATTCATTTCTCACAGCGGTTTAAGTCCTGGAAGTGGGCATGGAAAACAAACCACAATGCTGACCTGACCAGCTTATACTGATTTGTTTCCCTGTGCTTGTATGAAAGAAGAAGAAAAAAACGCAAAGCAGATTAAAATTTAACAAGGAATGCCAAAAATTCCTCTCTGCACAGATCAGTAAAGGTTTAAACTATGCTACACAAAGACACTATGTTTCTCCATAACAGCAAAAATGAAGGTGTATTAACGAACTAATGAACCTTAGAATAAGGGACTGTTACTTTACAAAGCAGCTACATGCTGTAGTTAGGGTGGATGCCAAGCAGCAGTTTCAGCAGTAGAAATCGTTTTAGCAGCGCTTTGCAACTTCATATGTGTGTTTTTATATCAGGAAAAAGGTAACATGGGATTTCCAAAGAAGCCATGTTGCAGTTCTATAAGTCACAGAAAAAAAACACCAAAATTTGTCTCCATTACAGTACTGTTGTCATAGAGACAGCACACGCAGCAGAGTAGCATCACCGCTAAGTAGACGATAGTTTCATGGTAACTTGATAACTACGCTGTAAAAAAAAGGTCCTTCAAAGTTAAGAAAATGACTTAATCATTTTCTCCTTTCAATTGTATTAAAATATACATATTTCTATATTATATAAAAACAAAACATAAACTGTTTTCATCACCAACTCCCAAAACACGCGATGTGGCTTTGGATTGTATCTAAAGCCATAAAACAAAAGATCATATTTGTATATATCCACAGAGTATTTTCAGTTATTGTCCTAAAATGTTGTGAGAAAAAATTATCATCACTAATATAAGTGAAGATATGATTTTGTCATAAAATTATGAACATCAGCGAACCTTTAGGGAAGGTTTACTGTATCTACTCGTCCCCCTTCCATCAGATCAGGGAAAGAACTGAAGATTTTCCTCTTTGACAAATAAAATTCATCATTAACCTCAGCTCAAGGGGTAGAAAACATAAAAAGAAAAGAAATTTAAACTTTAGTTAAGATCAGAAAAATACTACTAAGCTAAAAGCAATATGTAGTATGGGCTATGCAGCCTACAGGACTGCATAGCAGATGCTGTGCACAACTACAAACAGCAGCTCTGCAAAAGTAGAATCATCTGCTAACGCAAACACTAAGAAAGACAGTTACCTGTAAGTGAAAAATATAGTGTGCATGTGTGTGTGTGTTTGTGCACACAGGGTGCCACTTTAAAATAAAGCCCAAATAATACTATGCAGAGGAAATTATGAATGAAACTGCCTCTTTACATCCTGCAGCAGCTACTAACTCCTTAAACCCTGGGCAGGCTCTGCTTATACCAGGAAATAGGTTGAAAATAAGAACAAGAATATACAAAAGTATAGCTTCAGGCAATCTGAAGTGATAATTTTCCAAATTGCTAGTCTCTTCTTTCTTGTGTCTCACCGTGCAAGTTCAAATCCTTCACTCAGACAGACGACTCTCTCATTATCTCTCTCTATAGATATGATGCGAACAGGTAAACAGTAGCTGAACTTGCACCCAAAATAAGTTTTACTATATAAGGAAAGCATGGTATTTGTTTAAACTACAAAGCCTCATTTTAAATTAGCAGCTCGGCAAACCCCCACTTGTCATGTCTCACCTTAGAGTCATACCTATAGCTCATAAGAACACATTAGATATTATACATTATTTCCTCTTTATGTTTGTCGCTTTCACGAGTTTTAGCAGGATGTAGCCTTATCGCTACTCCAGGATCCTGGGAATGTGCTTTCCTTGTGTATTCTGTATATGCACCACCCGCAATCGGCAGCAAACCCGAGGACATAAAGGATGATAATCTCCTTGGAATTCCTCTGCGTTTTCTTGTAGAGATGAGGGGAGTGCTGGACAGTGGGGTTAAAGGGTCAACGGGACCAGTTTGCTGAGGCCCATCTGTCGGCCCCTGCTCTGTTTACGCACCATCTCAGGAGTGAAAGGCAAGCGTCTTGAGAGCTATCCTGTTCTCATAACATCTCAGCGGTTCATATCTGTGGAGGAGACTCAGAGGGGAGCTCGTGGTGGTCCGCGCCCAGTGACCAATGTTCTCCCTCCTATTCATCATCTGCTCGTCCGATGAGACCTGCAGACAAAACTTAATAAGCAGCAGAAAAGGGTTTGACTCAAGAGGGCTTTCAGCTTTCAGCTTTAAAGCTTAAAATTTTAAGGCTTTTTTTTAAGCAGATGAAGGCTTGAAATACATGAAAGCATGAAAGCTTCTCTTTATAAAAGGTTATTTTGAGAAACTTCCTGTCAAAACATTCACATTTATAGACTTTAAGAAACACACCGGGCTAGAAACACAACAGAGAGTTAAAAAAAAATAATGATGATGATAAAACAACTGACACCGACTATATAGAACAAATTACAGGAAATTGTCCTCATCTGCATTAGTTTTAATTTAAATTAAATTTCTCCAGAAAAGGAGTTTTCATCATCTTCTTGTTTATCAGTGTGTTTCTGTTTTCTTATAAAACTACACTTGTGTTTGTGTTCAACCTTCCTTCTACAATGACACATTTCAATTTGGGGGCTTGCCAAGTATGACATAAATAAAAAAAAAACTCTAACAACTCTAAGTAAATGTTCCATACCTGCCATTTTGAGCCATTTCATTCACAAAATCTATGATTATACATTTTAATAACACCAGAGATAAGAGAAAGCGTGGCTGACTGAATATCAAATGGTGATATATATACAAAATGAGATGGTTATCCCAACCATTTGAAACTATGATACTGTATTTAGAGTGCATTTTGCCTTAACTTGTAAAAATTACAGCCCTGGCTATGTATTTAAGAAGAGCTGACTACAGTCGGAAGGCAAAATGTGAAGCCTATGACCACATTAAAAAGCACTTTAATATCTGACTTCAAAGTGGCAAAGTAAGAGCACCAGGAGAAAGCACTAAAAACAAAAACAATAATTTCACAGGTCATTATAAATATTAGTTAAAATTAAAATCTGCTTTTGGGTGGATTTTTTTTTCATGTTTACTTCACCTATATAAGATTGCTGGATGATGAATGAATCAGGTAAGGATGACATGATCAATTAAAATAGTAGAAAAAAAGGTTTCTTGTTGGCTTAAACACAGTAAAAAATAATTAAAAACATCCCCTTACCATTGTTACTAAAGACCACTGTCAGAGGTCTTTAGTTAAAATGTGTTTAAATATGATAAATTTGTATTTTTTTTAACGTTTGTCATGTGGTCCTGTAGAAGCCTGCTGGCAATAAATGAATAAATAACCTTATTTTTGTTTCCACACTTTATGTTTTAAGAACAGGTTTAAAGAAACCACATACAGCATGTTAAGCCATCCATCCATCCATTCGCTTCCGCTTATCGTTTTCAGGGTCGCGGGGGGCGCTGGAGCCTATCCCAGCTGTCATAGGGCGAGAGGCGGGGTACACCCTGGACAAGTCGCCAGTCTGTTGCAGGGCTAACACATGGGTCAGACAACCATTTGCACTCACATTCACTCCCGCATTCACACCTATGGGCAACTTAGATTAATCAATTAACCCATACCCACTAACTGGAGAGAGAGAGAGCCCAAGCAAACACTGGGAGAACATGCAAACTCCACATAGAAAGATCCCGGCCTGATGGTGGAATTGAACTCAGGACCTTCTTGCTGTGCGGCAACAGTGCACAAACATGTTAAGCGTTGATTATATTCTGCTTGTTGACACAGCTTGAAACACCATGGCTAAATAGCCATTGTAGTTATATTTCTTGTAAGTGTGCTTAGCCCACCACCGGAGGCACACTTCCACACGTGCATGCAATCACAAAAAAAAGTGGTCAGACATTACAATGGGTGGACATAGCTACACTGGCGTCATCCATTGGTTGGGTCCTGCATTGAAACCTCCAGATAAGTGTTTCCGATGCTTCCGTTGATTAAAAAAAACTGGAAAGGATGGTCTCATTGGCTAGGGACTTGTGATTGACTGGTCCTTAGCCAATGAGGAGACCCTAGATAACCCTCATTTTTGAAATGTATGACCAAGATTTGCTAAAAAGACTTAATTTATTATGTGACTGAGCTCCTACACTCAGTGTTAAAGTATTTACAGACAAAACGTCAGAAGTCTGTTATTTTATGCAGTTAGATTTGATTGGAAGTCTTTTTGCAACCACAGCTGTCGCCCTCTGGTGGCATTCAGATAGAATGCAGGTTTAAGGTATGTCTGCGTTAGCTTAGTTTTTCCAGCCCGTAAGCTAGGTCCATGTTTTTTTGTCTCTGTGATCCACATGTACTCTTAAGCTTACTGTCTGGTATTTTTTAATAATTTACATCTCTGTAACTCAAGCGGATAATCAAGGCTTTAGCAGGCACATTTGGTTGCATTTGGGCACATTTCCTGCCTTTATGCTAAGCTAACCTACTCTAATGCTAGGTGCAACCTCTATTGTTTAATTGAATGCCATATTTCTCACAAAGAGTCACGAATTTGAAAATTTATGAACTTGTGTGTTTGTGAGGTAGAAAGCATGACTCTGGAGCTTGATGATCTTCTCTTGCAATATTATATAGATTTATTTTCAGTTTATCACTAAATTTTACTATTCTGCCTCTTGACTCTAACTCTGTGTGTGAGGCATGTTGAACAAATCAAAGTGCCTCGCTTTGTTTGCAATAACTGCATTGAAAGAGGTGATTTTTTTTTCCTAGGAAAACTGCAAGGTTCACAAACTCCAGCATTTTCAAAGGCTTATATCAGCCATACCACCAGTTTACAGTAATATATTTTAACGGGAAAAAGGGATGCAATTATAAAACAGCTCTGTGAGCAATGCTCCTTACAATAATTGCATTAAGATTAAGTCGGCTCAGTTAAAAGATGCTGAGGTAACAACCCTCAAAATCTTTACTGGCAGGAATCCTCAAAAAAGGAAACAATGAGGCTAAATCTTTACAGATAACTGATTTGGAGTTGTGTAAACTGGGGAAATCCCTATTGTTGGCAGATGTACCAACAGGTCTTGAAAGTCCTAAAGGCATCTACAGTGCAAGTCTTGGCTTTATGAGCAACAGCCTGAGGAGCTCAGACGAAATATTCAAACTCCAGGCAAAAGAAAAATCACACAGGTGAGTAAAGAAACAAATTATGTCATTATGTCCACATGTGGAAAATAAGCCTAATTATGTCACCTTAATTTTAAACCATTCAGTAAGTAGCTTGTATGAAATAATAATGGAGATCGTGACAAATAGGAACATCAAAGTACTTGTGAAACATTTAGACTTGCTTTGTGTAGCCAGACTGTGAGCATGCCTGAACACGCCTGCATGAACTTTTAATAAATCTTACATTGCAGGAGGAAAACCCTTAACAGATTGATTAACTGCTGACAGCTTTATGACAAAATTACTATTGTTGCACTCGGAGCACTCATCATTAGTTAAATCAATGGTAAGACATCACCATTTATACTATACCACACTTTATAGCGTCTCTGTCAGCCCTCTCATTTGGTCCAAGTCTATCACCAGTCCACAGCAATACAACACACCAGCTCTCCTAATAGACAGTAGTTATGACAGTAGCTGTCATGTGACACCAAATAGCATTTGATATGCACATTATATCTCAGAACGATTTAAGCTACGCTTGTATAGAGCTTACACGTGTAATTTTTAAACAGGAATAGTTTACTTTAGACAGTTAAACTGGCATTAGCCAAACCAAAAAGGCAACCCTTGTAGAAACTGAGTCAATTTACCAAAGAGTACTTTTTGCAGAATCGTGTTCTGTCTCACTAGCAATATTAATGCAATTGGCAATTAATCTGCAACACAAAGTACAGTATTTTCCATAATTTGCACATGTAGATGTCATATTGGTACAGGAGCACAGGTATTTTGTTGTTTGGTGGTGGATGTGTAGTGTACACGGGTTTATCTGGTTTTTTGTATTTTTAAAATAAATAAAGCTGCCTACTGTGGCTAAACAATGGGTCATTGGGAGCTTTGATACTAATCCAAGACATAATTATGCCAACTATAAACTCAAAATAATGAGCTGAAAGATGATTAAATACTTTGCAGTCTTTTAGGGACCTGCAGAGTGTGGTAATACTTCATATTTCTCAAGCCTCGCTCTTCAAATCATTTCATCCATTGTTTATACAAAACAAAAAGGTTACTGTAGCTTTAAAATGTTGCTTTTAAGTGAAGTCAGGACATTGTAGGATTCTTCATGGGCGCAGTTTTTTTTTTTTTCTTTAAACCCGAAACTTAAAAACAAGTCGGCCTTAAGAAGGTGAATATCAACAATCTTTGAGGCAGATAAAACAAAATGGTCAGTGGAAAAACCCGCCGAACAATCCCAACTTGTCTGAGTGAAATGATTAGGCTAAATCACATTTGTTTGGCTAAAGCAGCTTAAAAGACGCATGCATCGCCAAGAGTGTAATAACACAGTGACTGGAGGGGGGCTTTAGAAATACCAGAAGTCTGACAACATAACAAACAGTTGGGTCCAATGTCCTCATTCAGTCTGTGTTCATGGTTACTGTTCATTCATATCAATTTAAAGTTTACATTAAAAAGTTAAACCGAAACCATCGCGTTGCGTCGGTGTTGCCACTGTTATTGTAATCTGCACTTGTTGTTTCTAGATCACACCTGTACAGATGTGATCAGAGGAGATCTTAGAAATATCACAAACCGTGATTTATGTTGTTCTGTACTGAAAAGAAGCTGCGTGACTCAAGATAAATGAGCTTGATAAATATTTTTGCACACTTCTTATTGTCTCATTGGTGGTGTTTTCTGATTTTTGGCTGTGCACTCACTGCGCTCACAGCGACTTTGGATCCCAGTGGATGGGTATCCCTTTCCTTTCAAAACGGTGCAATCTAATATGCCCTCAGCCCCTTCCTTCAGCAGCAGCCGCAGAGTTCCAGCAGTTAGTAACTTCATCTCATTCGCATCATCTTCCACAAAAGGTGTGTCTGTTTACAAAACCCCAGCAAATGTGACACTTACAATGTCGGCAGGTACAAAGCCTCCGGCCGAGTGATCTGCGACTAGCAATGAAAGATGAAAGCGTGGACTGACA